TGTATAGTGCAGCATGGCAGGCAAGTTAGGCATTGGGAATGGAAGGAAGCTAAATAAATTGCATTTACAATCAGGAAGCAGAAACAATGAGTGCTGGTGCTCAGCTAGCTTTCTCCTTTTCATTCAGTCTGGAACCTTGGCTCATGCAAAGGTAACACCCACAGTTAAGGTTCCCACCTCAGTCAAGCCAGTTTGAGGAACTCTCTCAGGTGCCCTGAGATTTGTTTCCATGATGATTCAAAATCCCATAATGTTACAATAGTTAACATCATAGTAAGTAAACATCTATTTTTGGCTGTGAGCCCAGCCTTGAACAGCTGAGCCATTTCTCCACCCAGCAGGTAAACATCCCAGACTTGGCAGCAAAGTAAGGAGAAGAAACAGAATCAATTAAATAGAGAAGTGTGGCCAACCAGGCCTCACATTCTGGTGATAATGGATGTAGAATAGCCAGGGTGCATGATTAAACCAGAGATCATATATGAGACAACTAGAAAGAAAAGGATAGGCAGGGAAGGAAGGTAGGTGGGCAGCTGGAGGTGGATTTTAAAATACTTCAACACAAGGCCAAGGGCTCTAGCTGTCTCTTTACAAAAAGAAAGAATTGCACCCGTCCTGAACAAATGCCAATACCATCTTTCCATTCGAGCATAAATAAATGTTTCTATTCAAGGAAGAAACATGCACCACAGAAATTATTATAAGGCACTTGTGGTGGTTGCAAGCTTTTGATGCCATCACTTGGAAATCCAGAGGCAGTCAGATCTCTGAGTTTGCGTTCTAGGCCAGCCTGGTTTACAGAGGGAGTTCCATGGCTACACAGAGACACCCTGTCTCAACAACAACAAAAAGTGGCATTATACTCAAGCTTAAATCAAGAAGCTGCTTGTAATGATCAGTTTCAATAGTAACTTGCCACAATTAAAATCACCTGAGTAGGGAGCCTCACTTTTGGAATCCCTCTGATTCCTTTAGTTAATGTAGGTGGACCCTATCCACCATGGTAGTGCCATCCATAGTCAACAAAACAGGCTGAGTCAGTCAGAGGAAGCAAGTCAGTAAACAGAATTCCTCTGTGGTCTCTGCTTCAGTTCCTACCTGGAGCTTTTCCCCTGACCTCCCTTTATGGCGGATTGTGATGTAGAAACATAAGCCAAATAATTTCTTTCTTCCCCTAAACTGCTGCTTTATCCAGTGTTTATCCAGCAACAGAAACCAAACTACAAGGAAATGGAAACCAGGCCCAGTTGCTCATCAACCCTTTTGCTTAAGCCTATCAAAAACTTCTGAAGTGCTTAGCTCTGTGAAAGCCTCACATTTCTGAACGTTGGCTAATCAGCAAATAGCTGCACTTCCATGCTTCAAATTTGCAATCCCTACTTCTGCAGCACAGTTACTGAAATGTACTACTTGCATAAAATGCAGCACAAAGTCAGCAGATTCGTTAGTGACAACCATGCCCTACAAGCCCCGCCCTCTTTGCCTACAAGCACAAATTCAGTTTCCCAGCTTTGGAAACTGAGTAGCAGTCTCGTCCTCCAACAGCAGGAGCTCAGCCCCCACGCTTACTGGGGTCAACAATTTGGATCTCTTTTTCAAAGTTACAGAAGCAGTGTCTTAGGAAGGCTGCCATAGCTAACAAGTAAACATTTGATGCTCCAACAGAGGCTGACAGGAAGATTTATATGTCTTTTGTCTTCTAGAGAATTATTTACCACAAATCACCTGGTAGATACCGTGTAGGATATTATGGATAAGGGTTTCCTGTGGGTTTTTCAGCCAGAAACTTTATGGACACACTTGTATCATTGGGTGTTTACCTAGGGACTTGCAGTGTTCATCCGTTCATAAAATAATACTTCTAGCCATGGATTTGGATGGAGACAGACCACGCTTAAGTCTAGGATTTCTGAACTGTATTGTCTTGCTTAGTGCCCGTCACAGTGGAAAGCCTTCTCTTTCTTACAATAATATGTATTTGTTTTTCAGTAAGGTTTAACCACACACTCTCTTTCCTGAATCTCTCCTAAGATTAAAGCTTCAGGACAGCATAAAGGTGGGGTGATAAAGAAGATTCCTTAGCTAAGCCAGCAAACACACAGCAAGTCAGAAAATGCTTCTTGAGCCCATATGTGGTCTGTTTGAGGCCAGGCCCAGAAGACTGGCATGCCTTGCTCATGACAACCATGTCCTCACTGGGAAATAATCCTATTGTGTCTTGGTCACATAATATTTACTCAAAAGTCAGCTACTTCAGCTGCTGAGTTTTCAGGATGAAATGTGAAGTGTGAGGCCTTACTGAGAACACCTGGGTCTCTGCCCACAGAAGCACAAGGCTAACAAGGAAACTATGAGACCTCATAATGAAAACAGCCAAGGAGCCATACTAACCCGCACCAAGGTCAGAGCCCACCTACAGTTTTCCCTTCACTACCCATGTGACTTTAGATGCTTACCCTGTCTACCGTCCAAGTACTTAATCTTGAATGTGAATAATCTGTGTTTTGTGGGTAGCCCACAGACTTGCCAAAAACAAACCCAGATTACAGATACCAAACTACTTTTTTGGCTGCAGATCGAAATAACGATGCAGAACTCTGAATCGTTTCTAATTACACAGTTATTATCCCCAAACCCAAAGATGAACGTGCAGAAGTTTCTTTTCTCAATTCTCTAACCTTAACGTTCAGAAGTAACCACATTTGATAATTTAGTGCTTGTCTTATGCATTTTATGAGTATGTGTGTGTTTAAAAATGTGTATATAAAATAAAAGAGCCTATATTACCTACCCAAACAATTGTGCAGTAACTTTTTGTTGAAGTGAGTTGTAGTTTACTGCTGTGGCCAAATTACATTGTGTGCAAAGAGTCACAGATCAGCATTTAAAAGGTGGAAGTGTGAATACTGGTATGAGGTTCCACCTGATAGGCACATGTTACAAAGGAATGGGGTATTTTATCTCATAGTTTAATTCCATGATACTGTGTTTTGTTTTGTCTCAAACATATTTTTCAAAATGTTCTAAATTCTGGAAGAAAATGTGGAGCACAAACCAAAGCAATGGAGAAATTTAATAGTTCATAAGGGGAATGAACACACAAAGCAAAACTGGAAAATGGAATACAGGAAGTGAAAACAAAACTAGATGTGGTATGCTTTCCTAAGCTACATCTTTTAAAGAATGAAGAAGGCCTGGCCTTGTAGTTCCTCCTGCCAAGTTTCCTGTTAAATGTGACCCTCCACAACAGGACATCCATCGCGATGACTAGTCCCATTCAATGGAAAAAAGGCCAAACAAAAACTGAAGCAGGACTTGCCAGGGGAGGAAAGAGGACTAAATCTGATCAATGCCTAATTGTTTTACAGCTTAGAGATTTCACATTCTTAAAAACAGGAAGCAGCCATAAATTTGGGGGATGGACAGGAGCAACAAGTGATTCTGAAAGCTCTTAAAGTTTCAAGTAGCGGGTTTCTGTCTGTAGATGCTTTCATTGAGTTTCATACCATGCCCATCAACAGTCACGCTGTGCCTGTGTACAAAGTGCACATTTCCTGTTTTGATTACCAGTAACCCAAGTTCATTCCTCTCTGTTTCTGTGTCAGAGACAACTCAATGGGCCTCCATCACCTTCACTTTGGCTAAGAAGCTCGGTGGGGAGGGGTGTGGCAACAGGTTGAACACCGAATTTGTCCCCCTCCTGTTTCCCAGTTGTCTCTATAGTCTTAGCAGTGCTAAGACCCTCCTACCTCAGCCTTTCACCTGACTGAAATGCTCACCAGCAGCCTTACACTCCAGCTTCTCACAGAGTCTCCAAACCCCTCACCTCCCTTGTCTAAACCAAGTCACAACTTGTACTTTTAAATTATTTGGATGACATGGTTTTAATCTTGCCCCCCCTTTTTTTTTGAAAATGTATGATGACTAGGTGTGGAATTTCAGGCTTCTTGGTTTTTTTTATCAAGACAGGGTTCCTGGCTGTCCTGGAATTTGCTCTGTAAACCAAGCTGGATTCCTACTCACAGAGAGCCACCTGCCTCTACCTCCAAGGTGCTAGGATTAAAGGCATACATGGCACGGCCTGTTCTCTCTTTTTAAAAAAATCTATGTTTATTTTATGTATATAGGTTTTTTTGCTTGCATGTGTCTGTATGTATACCGTCATATGTACACAGTGTCGAAAGAGGTCATAAGGTGGCATCCGATCCCCCAGAACTGAAGTTACATGTGGTTGTGAGCCAACACATGGGTGCTGGGAACTGAACCTGAGTCATCTATAAAAACAGAAAAAGCTCTTGACCTCGTTGTTCCTCCTGCTCTCAGCCAGTTTTTGGTATGTGTACTTTAAACTTACCTTGATGGATTGGTTTTTGAAAGTTTCCTCTGGCTTAAAAATGAATGCAGCACAAACAGGCAAATCTTTGTTTGTTTTGTTTGGGTCCACCTCCATAGCCCTGGCTGGAACTTGGAGAGGGGCATTCACACACACAGAGAGACCTGCTTCCTTCTGTCTCCTGAGTGCTAGGGTGAAAGGTGTATGCTACCACACCCAGCCTTTGACCTGAAAAACTAAAAACATCATTGCCTACAGTTTTCCTGTTCATGATTAATGTTCATGCAGAAATAATATTAAAGTCATAAAATGTCATGGTATTTGAATAATCATAGGGCGCCTGGCTAGAAACACAGTGTGCTCTGCACTACAGCAAAGAACAGACTGTGGTGTCATAAATGTTACATTGCTAATATTCTTTCTATGGCAAACATCAGCAAAACTCCAACCTTGAAATGAGCTCCAACAGAAAGATCTGAAGTTCAATTGTTCCTTCAGTTTTTACAGTAATGTCTCTAGAACAGAGATATAAAACTTTTAATATAGATTGTTACTTTATTTTTTTCCCTCCGTTTCATTTACTTAATAATTAATATAATAAAAAGGTGAAACCTATGTTACATTTCAGATCTAAAAATCTCACAATTTGGAAGAAAGCAAGCAGCCATAAAACATACCATTATTTATTTTTTTATATGAGCAACTATTCAAAATGATTTTTTTTTCTGGTCATTTGCAAGATCACACCACATGAGTATCGACTATGGAAGGGGCATCTACAAAGCCAAGGACAGGGACCACTGCGTCCCCTTCCACAGATCTAAGACTGCCACTCATCTCTTTCCTGCTAACGTACTTGTGCAGCATGCTGTAGAACTGGTTCTTGGGATTGAAAGTGTAGAGCGCTGAGATTTGCTGCCAGTCTTTACTGCTCGGGGTGTTGCATTCCTTCACCTTCGTGCACTCAAAGAAACATCTAATATTCTCTTTTGCCAACTGGGTAGCATGCTCAGTAGCTTGACTTTGAAGGATCTGCTTCTCCTTCTCCGAATAGATTTCCCAGAACTTTAACTGCAGATAACTAACGGGAGAGAGGCATCGAGTGACAGACTTGAAAGCCAGAAGTAAGATGATGACAGCTGCTATCAGAACCCAGCCCAGCACCTACAGGAAAGACAACAGAACGACAACTTAGTGACTTTCAACATTAGAAAACGTTAAAAGCCTAGGATAGTCTAAACCATTCACCAGCTTCGATAGTGAAGAAGTCTTGTCCTAAGCCCGTTAGAATAGAAGTGTTCATAACAACCCCCCCCCCACCACACACACACACACACACACACACACACACACACACACACGCCCATCCCCAGGACAACAACACAACTGCGGTCTTGAAAAGTCAGTAGTCCCAATCATGTCAGGAAGGAGCACCCCTATCACTCCCCTGGAACTGAAAATGTGGGGTTTCTACGGATCCCGGGGAAAGGGCCGTACATTGTAAAGAGGCCTAAGGATTTGCTACACAGTGGAACTGAACACTAAAAAATAAAGCAAAAGGTACTTCTGACTCCTACAGAGCCAGCTACTGGCCAAGTACCTTCCCCTTTCCCAGCTGTTTAAATATTCACTGTCGCTCTTCACAAGAGCCACCGATGTCTGACTTGCCCGTCTGCGCCATCCCCATCTTGCCACAAGCCTGACCTGAGACTGAGCCTTGAGCTGCCTGAGGATCTCCTGCATCCACGCCTCCTGCTTGTTGCAGGGAACCTGCGGTAGCTTGGCGACGCAGCTGGGGTCGCTGCCCTGGCACAGGTGCGGCGCCAAGCGCGCGCTCCCGCTGACAGCGCATTGGTAGAAGGAGCCCCCGAGCAGCGCCACCGCCACCCAGGTGAGGGGCGCGAGCGCTGCGGACGCGCTGAGCTGCGCGCACACGAACGCGCTGCGCAACCCCACGTTGCACCGCACGCTCCCGCTTCGGGAGCAGCAGCCGGTGAGCAGGCGCCAGGTTCGGGCGCTCAGCGCGTAGCCCAGGAGGAAGAGTGCCAGCGCTGGCACCAGCAGGAACACGAGGCCGTAGGGCAGGTTCCAGGTGGCACTGCATGGACATTGGAACACCACCTCGGAGAAGATCTTCTCCCCACTCGCCGTCAGCAGGGTCACCAGGCCATAGCCCAGGGCGCTGCGGTGCTTGCTCTGCAGGTCCAGCACTGCCTTGAACTTTTCCATGGGCTCTGCTCACCCTGGGCACCCCGTTGCCTCTGCTCTGCTTGTCAGGAAGGTTGGGTGAATTTTACATTCTGTTTTGAAGCAACAAAAGGGGAAGAGAGTTTCTCAGCCTTTTCGGTGTTTCACTTTCTGTTTTTCACCAAACCAACTCTGGCATAGGCCCATGAATATGCCCCCTAGGATCCTTGACCTCCTGAGACTCACCCCATGTCCCAAGGCTGTAGGGAGCAGAGGAATCCCTGAGTGAGAGAAGATCCTAGTGACTGTGTTATCTTGATGTGGGCAGCCTGTGAGACCAATTGGTCCATGCTAAATTCACAAAGCCATTACCCATATGCATCAGGGTCAGAGTAATGGCAAAGCGTTCCTTGGGAGTATGAGCGTATGAATGTTTATAAAAGACATTTGATCAGTGGATACAAGACTAGCCACTGTAAGTCTTCTTGGAAGTTTACAGGCTGTGACTGCTGGCCTACATAAATGGCTTCCCATTCTAACACCTCTCCCAAGCTAAGGTTTGGGAAGAATCCAACCTGGTGCCAGCTTCATTGTGTGTCTGTCTGTATGTATGTCTGTCCTTTCTTCATTCTCTTTCAGCCCCTAGCCAGCCTTCCAGGATCTAAGCTGCAAAGGACAGAGCAGAAGTCTGGGGTCCCAGTCACATTGCTCCCTCAATTCTGGAAGGCTACCAAGAGAACTCTTGTTCTGTTGCTTTGCTTTCCTCCAATCCAAAGTGACCTCTTACAACGTAGCCAGCTGATCAAACCGGGAAAGCTACTCAATTTCCCTCTATTGCAGCAACCCTAATTCCTAAGCTAACATTTACAGGGAGCAAGGGCATGCTTTTTCATTTTTCTTTCATAAACTAAACCACAGAAAAACTGAGAATGAAGTCAAGGTCTAGTTCTTCTGTACAATGCCCCAGCCTGGAGGACAGACATACCAAGTTAGTTCATGCTAATATCTATTTATCTGTCTATCTATCTAGCTAGCTCCAAAGGCTGAACTTGGTTTATTTGCTTGTTAGTATGATGGGTACTCTTCACAGGTATGCCATAACATTGGCTGTACCTGCAGGGATATCACATTATTACTTTGTAACTACCAGGTTGGACAGACAGCACAGAGGATGTTGTATGGCTACTCAGAAAAATCACTGTCTGAGAGGCTGGGCTTGGTAGCACATGCCTTTAAGCCCAGCACTGGGGAGGCAGAGGCAGATGGATCTCTGTGAGTTCAAAGCTAGCCTAGTCTATAGTCTATAGTTGGGCAGCCGAGACTACACAGTGATATCCTGTTTCAAGACAAAACAAAATAGCAACAAAAGACAAAACAGAATTCTGGTTACACCACAGACTTTTTAAGTTGAAGCCACACACATCTAACACGACCCCTGTCTTCACTCTTGGTAGTCCTTCTGATACAAACCATAATCAGGGCTGTGACACTGAGAACCCTACTATTTCATGGCTCCTGAATGAGGTGAAGGATAATAGAAAGAACACTAGTTTTGAACTCAGGTGTTCTATTTCTGTGTTACTATTTCTAAGACTTGTACCTTAATAGTGGCCATTTCACTATGGCTGCGATGAGTTGAGCAGCGTATGAGAAAATGACATTTGGTGCTCACCACTGAAAGAGTGATCAGTCTGATGGGTTACAACTTAACCTGTAAGACCTGGAGTCTTCACTGCTCAGGATTGCACCCTTCCCAGGAACTCTCACAGACCACAGCTCAATGCAAAAGCAAGAGGTTTTATTGCTATCGAGATAGCGTCACAACCTCCAAAGACAGGAGATGACCCTGAACATGCAAAGCACAGGGTTTTTATACCTGAAAATCAGATCACTTTGCTCTATAGTTTACAACTGGTTGTAGATAGTTTACAGCTGGTTGCTTCTCAGAACAGTTCACCCCGCCCTTCAAGAGCTCTCTGCACCTGGCTTCAATTCAAATAATCACAGTTGTTTCTCATTCCCAGGTGGTCCCTCATTCCCCCTTTTCTTTTTGCCTCACTTTTAACCCTAAAATTGTGGATCAACCTCAGGGAGAGGTTGATACTGTCTCTGGAGCATCAGGACCTAAACTGCATTTACACATTCCCTGACGAAGGCGAGTACTGGTCGGAGAGTTTATTGTCCCTGATGAGTTTCAGTTTTAGCGGGTTGCTGGAGGCTTGGACTTTCCAGGTGTCTGCAGGTTGATGAAGAGCTGGCTTGATGTGTGACCCATGGATCCAAGATGTGATGCCCTCTACTTTGACGACAGTTGGTATAGTAGTGAACAGGACGTAATAAGGATCCTTCCACCGAGGTTCCAGATTCTGGCTGCAATATCACACATACCAGATCACCAACCTCCAAAGACCCAGGCACATATGCACTGCCAACCTTGCTCCAGATTTCTTTCTGAGTAAGCTGCAGTCCTTTCAGCCTGGACAACAAGTCAGAGTTACCACTAGTTATGTCAAGGGGGTCCCCAAGAAGAGTCAGGGGAGCAGGAACCCCATATAGTAGTTCGAAGGGAGTCAGGGCCAGTAAGGAGGGAGTATTTCTGACTCTAAAACGGGTCAAGGAAGGAGCACTACCCAGTCACTGCCAGTCTCCATGGTCAATTTGGTGAGTCTCTTTTAGAGTTCTATTCATTCTTTCTACCTGTCCTGAACTTTGGGGTCTATAAGCACAGTGTAATTTCCAATCGAGCCCCAGAAACCTGGCCACCTCCTGACTTACCTGAGCAACGAAGGCCAGCCCATTGTCTGACCCAATTACCTTTGGAATACCAAACCGAGGAAAAATGTCTTCCAGAATATTTTTGGCTATGACCAGATCGGTTTCTTTCTTTGTGGAAAAAGCTTTCACCCATCCTTCTGACAGGGTTCACACCCCTGTGTCACTCTCTCAGTCAGGGCAGTGAGGTTTAGTATTCGGTATTGGGATTGGCGGGCAATTTCAGCCAATTTCTTTGCCCCCAAGTGAGTCCACTTATACATCTGAGTTATTAATTTCTCAGCGTCTTTCTGTGGTAGAATGATCTTACCTTTGGAGTTAATCCATGCCCCCACATCGGTGTCAAATATTCCCTGTTTTTACCATATTAGCTTTAAGTCACTTTCTGAGTAGTTTAGTCGTTCTTCTCTGGGCAGCTTAGCGGTCAGTACCACTGGGACAGAGTTTCCTCTAGCGGCTGCTTTAGCCTCCTGATCAGCCATGTTATTCCCCTTTGCTGCCCTGGAAGTTCTCTTCTGATGTCCCAGGCAATGAATAATGCTTATCTTGGCGGGCAGCAACAAGGCATTGAGCAAAGCCAGAATCTCAAGTCCTTTCATCATCCCTGTTCCTCTGCTAGAACCTGCAAACAATCATGCTCTGGGGGCTGAATTTTTGGATCCGGCAATAAGGTGGCAGGGTTTAGCCCTGTTGCCGGGGCAAAGGTGACTCTATCGTTATTCAAGAGCAAAGCCTGGTAATGCGTCATTCGGGCATTCGTGAGCCAGTGATTAGGTGGCTGCCTTATGACACTCTCAAGGGCATGAGGAACATAGATGGTGAGGTCCTGTCCTAGAGTCAGTTTGTACTAGTACTGCCACTGCCGCTACTATTCACAGGCAGGTTGGCCATCCTGCCGCTACCGAATCAAGCTTTTTGGATAGATAGGCTACGGGTCTCTTCCAGGGTCCAATTTTCTGTGTTAGCACCCCTTTTGGCCATTCCCCGATTTATCAAATTCGGCTTGTTCATCCTTCCCCCAGATGAAAGAGTTGTTGCCCTTTGTTTTCTAGCCTCCGATAGCCATCTCTTTCCCTCTCAGTATATATCCCAGATAGCTGACCTGTTTCCTGCACAGCTGGGCCTTTTTCGCCGATGCTCTTTAGCTGAGCTCACCCAGCTCTTGCAACAGCTGGTCGGTGGCTTCAAGGCAGGTTTCTTTACAATCTGCAGCTAATAGAATGTCATCCACATATTGGAGAAGAGTTACCTGGGGATTGGTGGCCCAGAAGTGTGCCAGGTCCCGGGGCAGGGCTTCATTAAATATGGTAGGGGAATTTTTAAACCCTTGAGGAAGTCGAGTCCATGTAAGCTGGCCTGAGACCCCTGAGTCTGGGTCTTTTCATTCAAAAGCAAAAATGTCTTGGCTGATAGGGCTAAGTTGAAGGCAAAAGAATGCGTCCTTAAGGTCCAGGACTGTATACCAAACCTTGTCAGGGGGAAGGGAACTCAACAGGTTATATGGGTTGAGCACTGTAGGATGTAAGTCCGTGACCTGTTTGTTAACTTCACCCAAGTCCTGTACGGGTCGATAGTCGTTGCTCCCAGGCTTCCGAACTGGCAGCAATGGAGTATTCCAGGCAGATTGGCACCTTCTGAGAACCCCTAGGTCAAGGAGCCACCGTATGTGAGGGCAGATCCCATCATGGGCTTCCTTAGACATGGGATATTGTCGCACCACGTTCGAGGTAGCCTGAGGTTTCAGCTCTATCTGAACTGGGGGCTGTCTCTCTGCTTTTCCTCAGCCAGCCGTTTCAGCCCGTGCCCTGGGATGTCTCTCTAGCCACCAGTCAATGTCTTTTTCCGGACTTACCACCTTTTCAAACAGTTGGTATTCATCTTCCAGTTGAATTGTCAGCACCTGAATGGGATCCCCTTTATTGTCTGTCACCTGTGGGCCATCTGGTCTAAAATGATATGGGCCCCTATCTTAGTTAGGATATCTCGCCCTAACAGTGGGTACAGCCATGTGGGGACAACTAAGAATGAGTGGGATACCCGGCCCACTCCAAGTTCCACCGTTCTTCAGGTAGTCCATGAATATTGTTTACATCCAGTGCCTCCTTGGACCCACGATTTTTTTCTCTTTTTTAGCTCCTAAGTCTTGTAACAGAACAGAATGGTGGGTGCCAGTGTCCACCAAGAAGTGGAGCGGCTTTTTCTTCCTTTTGGACAATCCTTGATCCAGTGTCCTTTCTCCTTGCAATAGGCACACTGATCCTTAGACAGAGGGCCCCTTCAATTGCTAGGAACTCTCTCCCTATCATTACGACTCTCCTGCACTACGGT